CCCCCGCCCCGAGATACTGCATAGCTGGTGTTGTATACTTCCATGAGGCACATAATGGTTGGTTGTCTCTCTTTTTGTGATGTTAGCAGTCATTGATGTTAATTGCTTAGCTCCATTATTTCATTATGGGTTGCAAAGTTGTGATATTCTAATTCTATCATTTTTTACTCATTAATAAGCTAGAAAACTTCTATAAAGATAAAATACTTTTCCTCAGCTGCCCAGGTACCTGTGGTACAGTTTGCACAGGAAAGGCAAAATAAATGTTTTAAGTACCTGGTTCATTCCCTTTATTTGCTGGTTTTCAATATAATGAGTTGATTTCCTAGTATTATCCAAGGTGACTCCTGAGGGTATGTGTGTACTTCAGTATCATTCCATACTCATGAATTTTACTATATTTATCCATTGCAGTTGTTATTCTTATTGATGTTTTGACCAGGTTGGCTCCTGTGTCTTCTTGACATGACCCCAGTAGTAGTCTTTGATGACGTCTTGCTTTCTGGTATGACAAGATGTTCTAGGCTCACCTTCTATGTCTTCTGCCCCAGGTCTGGAATCAGCCATTTTTCCAAGATGCCTTGGTTCCTTTAGTAGAAAATTTTCTTTAGAGACCATAAACTGAGTGCTAGGGTGAAATTTGTTTTTAATTTGCTTTAATAAAACTAATGGTGAAATCAAATTCAGGTAAGATTAAGTTGTGATTGCTAGATACCAGTGGGTGCATTTGTGCCACTAATTCAAGTCCAAATAGAAAAGATAAAAATATTGAGCTAACTCGTAAATCTCTAACTTATTTCAAAGTTTTAAAATTTGTTGAATATTTGTCCTTATGGGATATTCAGAAGCCACACTGGAGCGGGGATTCATTGCTTGTCTCTGATATTCAGCACTTCTGTACTAGCCTTTTCTCACGCGTTCAGTTCTCATCAGAGATGCATTCACTATATCAAGAAAATCACATCATCATAAGAATCTCTCATTGAGCAAATCCGTGGAAAATGTCTCAACGGAGAAGGTGGCCGTCAGTGAGGTATTTGTTTCTACAGCTTGTATTAAAATCTGAGACCACTGAACTATGGATATTTTCTGTTTTTCAGCGTCTGAGATCCAAATGATGACCCTTCCCCCTGGTCAGTTTGTGATTACAGATAGTGGTGTGGCAGCTCCTGTCACCGCTGGCCAAGTAAAGGCGGTCACTCCGGTAAGCTACGCTGCTTAGTGGGGTTTTCCTGCCCACCACATGGCGCCACCCTTCCCTCCCCACCTTCATATATGGATTGGAAGACTTCCTCTGTATGCCCATAATACCCCATGATGCTATGTTATAACCCTTATCACAGTTTAATTATTGGTTTACTCTTCTGTCTTCTCCCAGTAGACTATGAATTCCTTGAAAGATGGGGCTTGGTCTTTATCTCTTTATCCTCATGCTTTGCACAGAGACTGGGATATAGCAAATTATCAATATCTATCCAATTAATAACTACAGTGAAACCTGTGAGAGCTGGAACTTGACAGGAGAAAGACGAGAAAACTCCACTCTTGACGGGGTGCAGTCTTACCACTTTTCTTTCTCATTTTAGTGGAAATATCTGAGTTTTCCTTCTCTGACAGGTTTCCACCTTACACAGGTTCTGGCTTTCGCAGGTTTTACTGTATACTGAAACTCCTAGATCAATATATGTATGGATTCATAATTGATCACTTTTTTATGTGCTTCTTGGAAAATATATATGTCCTCAAGATAACTGGTCCTGGATTGGAAGAGAATAATATAATGAAGCAGTTATGGAGCTATTTTAAACTATTTTACCCCAAAGTGAAAAACACTGCCGTGCATTATCCTGTTATATTTAAATTGGCCAAGTCACCGTCGACTGTGTGTGCTGTCTACCTCTGTTTTCATCCATACTAATTGTTTTCACCTGCCTCTAAGTTATTAGAAGACAGGGTACGTAAATTTACATAAATGATGAAAAATACCCTTCAGTGGCTAAAGAGATTGAGGTGTTCCTAGGGGAAGGCTGACCATCTCCCAAGAGGCCTCAAAGGGCAGCAGGGCAGTCCTAAACCAAGCTAAACCAGTTGCCATCAAGTTGCTTCTGACTCATGGAGACATCACACGTTGCAGATTAGAACTGTGCTCCGTAGGGTTTTCAAGGCTGTGGTTTTTCAGAAGCAGATCACCAGGCCTTTCTTCTGAGGTGCCTCTGGATGGGTTTGAACTGCCAACCTTTTGGTTAGTAGTCTACCGCTTAACCGATTGTGCCTCCCAGGGGCTACTAGCAAGGTAGTCCAGGGACCTTAAAAACCTGATTTTTTAAAGAGCATACTACGAGTTCAGTCAACTCACATTAACTCAAACTCACATTCACACAAACTCACATTAACTAGACTTAGGAGAGATGTATAAATCCACAGTAATACATTATTAGTTGTCAGTGAAAACAGTAACTAATGTGAAATGAAGTAGTCACATTGGCAAGCTCAGTGAATTGTTTTGCTCCCTATAGGACCCATTGATTCTTTATCATTTTTGGCCAGGAACTCCTTTGAGAACCTGATTATAGCCAGGGCTGTTCCCCTCCCTCCACCCCAATGTATATACACGTACATTTTAATGTCTATTTTCAGGGGTACGTGGATTCTCTGAAGTCCACCTGTGGACTCCCTGTGGGTCGGTGGACCCTAGGTTGAGAACCACCCCCATCCCTAGAAGAAGAGTCAACACGGGGAATCAAGTCTTAATCAGAAAGTTGCTTGGTGAGCATAGACTCAGAACATACAGCTCTAGATGAATCCAATAGGGATTTGCCTTTAGCTTTTTTTTTTTTTGCACAGTGCCTGGAAAAGCTACTGCCTGAGATTTCCTCTGTGACTTTCTTTTTTTCTGTGCCTCTGTGGCTGACCAGTCCTCCTTCTGACTGACACATTCTGTCTTTAAAAATATCAACATCTGAAATAGTATGTCTATGAAGACATTTTCATGATCAGAGGGAAAATTAGAGAAAACAAGGACAATGTATGAGTTTCCCTAAAGCTAACTCTGTTCACAATAAGGGGCTTTATTCTAAGATTATGTTCTTCCCATGCTTGTGAGTGTTAAATGTCTCTTATTTGAGGGAAGCATTTTTTTTTTTAAAATGACCTTACTTGGCAAAATAAAATATTGAGACCTTTTATTATTATTATTTTTTAATTTTGCTGGTCTTTGAAATTCTAAAGTCGAGGAACCATTGATCGCAACTCCCTGGCTTAGGGGCCGTTCTGCCTCTTTAAAGTGACTTTAAATATCTCTTTTTTTGATCTATTTTGTATTAATCCTAAAATTAAATTGACAGATAATAATCTCATTTCCTGAATTTCTAAATTCTTAGGAGCAGCACAGTAACATGTTTTCTTTGCCATGTAGGTTACCATTTTTATGTTAGTTTCATACCTGATGTTCTTGACTATATCATTTGCTAGAAAAACTAAAGTGCTCCCTTAAATTACCTGTGTAGTCAATGAGTGTAACTGACTAGTCCTTTCTAAAGGACTTAAGTAAAATCATCTCCTATGGGGGCCTATCTTGGTGTTCCCTTGTAACATTTCTTTGCATATTCCCTCTTCCTACCAGTAACACCCCCCTCCCCTCCCCACCCTCTTTTAGGCCTCAGATTTTTAAAGATCCTCTTCTTCCTGCTCTAGGGTCATTATGTGTTATCAGAAAGTCAACCAGAATTGGGGGAAAAGCAAACCTCTGCCCTTTCCAGTGGAGTCCAGGTTCAGCCATCTGTACACAATGACTCCTTGGACCCCCAGACAACCAGCCAACAACAGACCACGCAGTACATCATCACAGCCACCACCAATGGGAACGGAAGCAGTGAAGTGCACATCACTAAACCGTAACTCTCGTCCGAGAGAGAGAATCAGTCATATCTCTTCTCATTCATCACGTCTGAAAGTTTCTGACACTTAGAACCCTGTTTTTAAAAATTTATTACTCACCCAAGAGTTGGAAACTACAATTTTGACATTCAGATAGACGGTGAGGTTTATTTCACCAAGGTCAGCTTTACCAAATTGAGTCTTCAAACCCTAAGGGGTTTCTGCCACGGAATAGAGGTCTTTCAGGGGAAAGGAGATTTCAAGATGGAGAAGCTTTGCCCTGCTCTTGAGTTGGTTTTTTAACACATTGATAAGCCTTACTTTTCCTTTATGGAACTCTTAAGTGGCATGCTGTATTCATGCGAAAAGTGGAGAAAAGATGTACCAATTGAACAGTCACTGGACTTCTCAGTTCTAAGCCGTGGCAGTAAAAGAGGAGTAGCATTTTACGGGCTTGAATTAGATCGAAACTGCTTTATTTGTGATGTTGAGTTTCCAGTGATTTAACAAAGGGAGCCTATTGAATATGGAAATAAAAATGATGAAACAAAGGTTTGGTAGTGACGTTCTGAAGGAAAACTGTCATTTAAATTTTTCTTATTGTTCACTTTTTTTTTTAAACTTTCCCTTTTTCTGAAAACTTTGTTGGGTTGTTGGGAATGCTTACCATAGATTCTGGCCCTCCCAGCTGATGAGGTTAGAACCTTAACATGCAGGTAGTGGTCACTCCACAAAGGTGGATTTTCTGGAAGAGAAAGTGTCCTGATGTCAGCAAAATTTAAACCTCTGCATTAAAGTTTTGCCTTCCGTTCTCTGATTGTGGTCGCATTAAAAAAGAGAGATTGATACAAGAACAATTATTGAAACAATCATATATATATATATATTTTCTTTTTAAGTGGAAAAAAACAAAAACACTGGAACTGTGTCACTGCCTTACAGGACCCAGCTACCATTCACTGGTGAAGGATAAATTCCTTGCCTTTACCATTCAACCCTTGCTCATAGCATTCGATGTATTTTAGTACTTTTAATGCTATCTTAAAACGAACATTCCTTAAGGTTGGATGACAAGGTGATCTTCCTTATATCTTACACTTTAAACTCACCTGGACCTTTTTGTAAGATGACCAACTTCACACTTAGGGGAAAAATTAAAATATGTGGGGACCATTTATAATATGTTAAGGGATCTGGAAGATATCTAATCTTTATGAATAGTACACTGTTAGTTGGGAGAGGAAAAAAAACCTGTCTCAGTAACAGTTTTTCCTATATGTGCTCCTTGCTTGCCGTGAATTCAACAGAGGAAAATGATATTTTCCTTCTTTTTACTGTACATTCCGATTGTATGCATAAGACATCTCAGAAATCAGTATATATTTTAGTAACTTTTTGTGACATAGTTACTAACACATTTTTAAATATAATTATTGCACAGCAGAATTTATCACTACAGAATGGGAACACCTAACTTCAAATGAAGTTAACTAATTTAATTTACATTTCTGGGTAAACTTGGTTCTATAAATCAAGAAACATAGTAGCTTCTTTATGGTAAAGATACTTTTCTGAATACTAAACAGTTCTGCTGAAATAACTTTACTAATATAGAGATTTTGCACTTTATTTTCGAGACCTCATTTAGTCTCCTAGAAAATTTGGGTACTAAGAGAACTTGAGAAAGTTACTTGGTAAATATGTGGAAACTGAAAGTAGACTCTAGATCTTCTTTGGTGACAAAGATATTGATGTTTTCAACAGAAAATATTGATGTGGAGCCACAAAATAGAGACTCTGGGTCACAAAGTCCCACCAATATAATGATTGTAAATTCCCTAATGTTTGCTTACCTGTTCCAGTCTAGGAAAGAATCGCTAGGTGAAGAATATTAGACTTTCCAAAAGGTCCAGTTTTAGTCTTTATAACTTAAATTTGGTCCCTCTGGGTCCTTTTTAATTTGAACCAGCCAGGTATCTCTCCCTCCCTCGAATAATTTATTGATTAAAATGGAAACGTTTCACTGAATGGAATGTTCGTTTTCTGCCAGTTATTTCAAGTTTTAAAATACACAGAGAAAAATACTGTGGGAGGACCTCTTTGTCTCTTTCCCTTCTAGTTTTTTTTTTCCCCCTGTTTTCCTTATATAGAATAAGTAAAGACGCTAAAATTAATTTGTATATTTTCAACCGAAATGCGTGTTGCAGTCAAGTCAAATAACATTGCTTTAAGATCAAGTATTCTCCACATTCATCCTGAGGTAACAGATTTCCAGAAGGACTTGAATTTGAAGAGATGGGAGATGCTAAGCCATCTGAAGACCCAATTTGGAAAAAAAAAAAAAATGTAGCCAATGTTTATATTGTGGCCTCTCTCAAGGTACTTTGGCACTGTAGAATTCATTCAGTGCAGGGTGAAAATTTTGGGGTAGGTTACATATAGATTTTATATTTTTATTGTTTGATTTGTGCCCACATAAATAGACATTTCATCATGTAAAATTCCTGCTATTCTGGAAAAACCTATTGTTTTGATCTTCTCGTTGAATTGTTTTCTAATTTGGAATTGTCCTTTTAAAAACTCAGAACTAGGGCTAAAAAGCACTTCATGAGATGCTAAAGCTGATGTACTGGTTGACAGTGTTAACCCTGTCCTGTTATTGAAATGTGAACATTTATTGTACATTCAGTGAGCTATAGTGTTAATAGTCTTGTGCTATCCAGCAGGTGTAAAAATTAATAAATATTTTTTTTAATAAACAAGTTTCTTGTTTGTATATGCAAAGCTGTAACAGCTACTGAGATGTTCAAATTTTTTTTTTTTAAGTATTCCAATTTACAGTGTTTTGACTCCAGCTCACTTCAGTCTGATCACAGACCGAAGGTAAGGGGGTTTATGATGACAACTCTGGAATGCTGTTTCCCCGGCCATTTGTACTTAGTGAATTCTAATTAAAGAATCTCCCAATAGAGTGACTCCGAGTGGCAGAGGACAAGGGCATGCGTGGAGCCAGTAATGGGGCAGAGACTGTGTTTTATTTGTAAATAGGTGGTTTCCAACAAGGGAGGAACAGCTCCAAACCTATTAGCGCCGTCAGTCAGGTTCTTTGACGTATTTTCCATCCACCCAGGAGAAGTGAATGTATCTGCAGGACTGACGGGAGCCGTTCTAGATAAAAATCAGCGAATAAGAAAACAAGGACCTAGATACAAGGGGAACATGATCGAGTTTGATGTAAAATGTACTTCTTTCACGTGTTTACTTTCTGACGTCGTGGGCTGGGGGACCGGTGGGAGAAATACCCTCTCCTGGGCCGCGAACCGGGGACCCACACCGGGAGGCAAGGCTGAGTTCATTCTTACTCTACGTCTCGGAACCCGGGTTTCCTCAGCTGTGAGACTGGGAAATAATAGTGCAGGGTTCAGACACCTGTAGTACAAAGTGGATATAAAGTGCTTAGTACAGTCCGGGGCAGAGTATGCTCTCTAAAAACGTTCTCTAATAAAATTGCATTTACTCCTTCAGACTCTGGAGCTTTAATCCTCTAGGCAAAGACGACTGAGGCACCTTCTGTGCCCTCTGGAAGCTCGAAAACCAGGTGAGACCTACAAGCCGAGCAGAAACAGCCATCACCGATACCCGCAGAACGTTGAGCCCACGCCCCGCCCCGCCCCTCGCATCCCACGCCCGGCCCCTCACAGCCCCGCCCCCGGCGCTCTCGAGGTCTCGGTCCTTGGAGCTCGGCTTCTGGCGCCCTTTAAGCCCCGCCTACCGCAGCGCTGGCCCCGGCTTGCTCCGTGTTTCCCTCATCGCAATCCCGCCCCCGGCATCCCAAGCCCCGCCTCATTAAGCCGCGCCCCTGGCGTTCTCTCGGCCCGCCCCTCGAGGCCCCGCCCCTTCCGCCGCCCGAGCCCGGAGCGTGTACGCACCAGGGCGTCTTGCGGGAGCGAGCGCGTCTGAGAGCCGTGGGCCGGGAAGCTTAGCGGGTTAGGAGGCAGCAGCCCCGGCTCAGGTGAGGGCGGGTCGTGGCCGGCGAGAGGATGAAATGTCGCCGGAGAGCAGAAGGAGGGAGCAGCTGGGTCTCCGATGGTGGCAGCTCCTGTGGGAGGGGGAGCGGGCGCGCCGGGAGCCAGGTGGTCCGGGGGGTGAGGGTTAGGGTTAGGTACGGTGTGGGAGAGGGGCCGAGGGTGAGGGAGGTGTGTTTCGAAGGCAGGACCCGGGCCTTGGGCTGTTGTGGAGGAGTTTGCTGCAGGCTTCGCGGATTTGGAGCTGGCGGTTGCTCGGGAGGGAGCCGAGGGTTTGGCTTCTGCGTTGGGTAGAGTCCAGGAGGAAAAGTCGCTGCCCAGGTGCAGAGGCAGGGCCTTTGGGAGAAGCCTTCCTGGACTACTGAAGAGGCCCAGGACGCCGCAAGACTTACGAACCCTTGGCTTCCGGTGTTTCAACGTCCTGGCAGCTGCCTGCTTTTTGTATTTTGAGGCACTGGTCAGAATAGTGGCAGGACAAAGATTTGTCACTTGAATAGGTTAAATTTAGCTACATATCCACCCTTGTCGAGGAAACCTGTGAGCAAGGTGAGCAAACAGGTGATGCTCCCAAGAGTCAGGGAGAACAGTAACTTTGGAGCTATTATCTTGTTGTATGCCAGTTCTTTTAAGAGAGTTTTACTCTGAGCCCTAGATTGTCCCCCCCCCCCATTTTTTTTTCTATTTTAAAGTTTTATTAAACCTACAGGCCTGTACTTTCCTGCTTGCTTCGATTATTCAGGCACCAGGAATGTTGAGGATGTTGTAATTTTGCCACATGCTGAAGGATATTAGGGCACAGTTGCTTGGGGGCCACTCATCTGCCTTGACCCAACACTATTCTTTTCCCTGTATCTTTACATGGGTTGGAAATCTCTTCAAGATAACTTGAAATAATTTAGTGGAAAGGTGCTTTATCTTAGAAGTAGTGTAACACTCGGAAACCCTGGTGGCGTAGTGGTTAAGAGCACTGCTGCTAACCAAAAGGTCGGCGGTTCGAATCCACCAGGCGCTCCTTGGAAACCCTGTGGGGCACTTCTCCTCTGTCTGTAGGGTCGCTATGAGTCAGAATCGACTTGATGACAAGGGGTTTTGTTTTGTTTTTTGTTTTGTTTTTGTCTGCTTTTTATCGTTTGAGAGTCTTGGAAATAAAAAGTGCCTACGTTAAGTAATATAAGCTGTCACTCATCTGAGATTATTCATTGCAGAATTCTAGGATTGGAAACATCAGTAGAGAAGACCTGGTCCAACGCCCCTTCATTTTACAGACACGGAGACTGACACCTGGAGAGGTAGGATTTGTGTAAGGTCACTGGGAATTAGTGACAGACCTGGGCTAAAAGTTTGGTGTTTTGATTCTTTAAGTTCACTTTTTTTTTCCCCGTTTTACTGTGTTTGTTAGCTCATTTGTACTATTTTTAATAGGATGGGAATAAGTTAGGATGGATTCAGTAAAGCTTAGAGAGTGATTGAATTCAAGCTCCCTGTGGTCCTGTTAGCTTTGTTCAGTCCTGTGGCCTCAGCTTTATGTCTGATTCCAGTTCTCAGCTTTGTGAGATGCTTTCAGAAAATGTTTTAATATGTATTTTTTTTTAACGGGATTGGCAGTGTCCAGTTGTTACAGGAAGGAGATTACACTGCCTTAAGTTTACATGGTTATAAAGATCAAGTGGACTAACTAAAGGCAGATTGGCCTCTGACTTTAATGGTTGTCATGGGCAGCTGCTGGAGCCTCAGGAGTTTATGTGGATTAATTAATACAGTTGTGTTAGCACCAGAAATCCTGTGAATTTAGGAATTAGTGTAGGAGCATTCTGAGAAACAGGAAACCTACCAGATAAGATTTGGAAACTCAGATGGGAGTGTGTTGGTGGAAGGGAGGGAGAAGAGCTGTTTAGCTGTAGTTAGGATGTAAGGAAGATCAGAATAGACTAGAGATTGTTGAGAGTGAATATTGTCTGGGCCAGAATATTTCCTGCAAGAATGTTGGCATCAACTGGATCCCTGGGATTTCTGCCTTCCCATCTGGGTGGTGTAAATGATTAAATGCTTAGCTACTAACTGAGAGGTTAGCAGTTTGAATCCTACCCACAGGCACTTGGAAGAAAAGCGTGGTGATCTACTTCCGAAAGGTCAGCCACTGAAAATCGTATGGAGCACAGTTCTGCTCTGACACACACGGAGTCTCCATGAGCTGGAGCTTACGTGACAGCAGCTGGTTTGTTTTTTGGTTTTATCCCAAGGTATCACTGGATATACTTAATCAAGAGTACCTGTGAAGAGTAAACAATGGATTCCTTGGACCATATGCTGACGGATCCCCTGGAACTGGGTCCCTGTGGAGATGGCAATGGCACTCGCATTATGGAGGACTGCCTGCTGGGAGGGACCAGAGTTAGTCTGCCCGAGGACCTCTTGGAGGATGTAAGCATTGACCTTGTCTCAGTCTTTTTCTACCGTTAACTTTCCCATAGGAGCGCTTCTGAAACTTGGCCATTCTGTACAAGTTTCCAGTCTTTTGTGCTCCCCCTGTTTCATTTTCTACATTGTGGGTAATCTTTTATTTTTTTTTAAGTGTAAAGTCTATTTAATATTTAGTTGGAATCAAGTGTAAACTACATTTTTCATGTGTGAGAACATGTCAAAATAACTTGGTAATAATTTCCAGCAATTAAAAAGTTTAATATTTCAAGAGCAGAATTATGTATATATTTACAGTAAGATGTTCCTGGGTGGCACAAACAGTTAAGAGCTTGATGACTGACTGAAAGGTTGGCAGTTCACACCCACCCAGATGTGCGTTGGCGGAAAGGACTGGCAGTCTGCTTCCAGAAGGTCACAGCCTTGAAAACCTTATGGAGCACAGTTCTACTCTGTAACACATGGGGTTGCCACAGTTGGAATCAACTCGATGGCTACTGGTTTGGGTTTCTTTAACGTTAAAATGGTTACCCATGTTGTGAATCATTAAACAAAATGCAAACATATTATCTGTGTCCATAAGATAACCGAACTGGGAAAAGAAAAAAAAAAAAAACGAACCCGTTGCTGTCTATTCAGTCCTGACTCATAGTAATCCTATAGGACAGAGTAGAACTACCGCATAGGGTTTCCAAGGAGTGGCTGGTGGATTTGAACTGCTGACCTTTTTGGTTAGCAGCCGAACACTTAACCACTGCGCCACCAGGGCTAAATTAAAAGTACATGCCCTGGGATAGGATGGCAGCATGCTGTTGACCACGTTCCAGGGCTTTGAACTGGTCAGAAACGGTTCAGTCGTGGCCAGCTGAAACAAGGGCAGCATACATGTTGCATAGCAACCAGAGCTCTTGCCTGTGGTATCTGATCCCGAGTAGGAAACAGGCCTGCCCCTCTCAATGATGATGCAGCACACATTCAAAGCAGCTTGGGTGGTTGCCATCGTCATCTTTGAGCGGGACAGCGCTGTTTCCTACTTGGGACAAAATCCCATGGGCAGGAGCTTTGGTTGCTGTGTAACACGTACACTTCCCTTGTTTCCATGAGTTATGACTGAACCATTTCTAACCGGTTTGAAGCCCTGCCATGTTTATAGGCAGGATGTGTAGTCACCATTAAGATGGATATTGTTTATTGAGTGCTTGCTATTTGCAAGGTACTGTATGTGCTCACTTATTTGATTATTTATTTAGTTCATTTTGACATGTTTCAAACATACAGGCAAGTGTAGAGAATAATATAAGGAGCCCTGATGGCACAACGGTCAAGCGCTTGGCTAACTGAAAGGTTGGCTGTTGGAACTCACCCAGCAGCTCCATGGGAGAAAGACCTGATGATCTGCTTCTGTAAAGCTTACAGCCAAGAAAACCCGGTGGGGCAGTTCTGCTCTGTCACATGGGGTCGCTAGGAGTTGGAATCAACTCGATGGCACCCAACAACAACAGAGAATAACATAGCAGTACTCTTAGGCATCACTCAGTTTTAGGAGATAATTTCGTTTAATCATATTGGCTTCAGATTTTTATTTCAAGATGTCAAACATTGTAGATAAAGTGGAAGCCACCATTGTGCTGTTGTCTAATCCCCTTCCCATCTAAAGTAACAACTGTACTGAAGTTGGCATATATCCATCTCGTCCTGCGTTTTCTTAATTTTGTGTACTCTTTCAGTAAATCGCTGTCATTTCCTTTAGTCAGCCAGTGCTTGTCTTGCTGAGGGCTTAGTCTATGCCAGCCACTGAGTTAGATGATAGGAGTACAGTAGTGAGCAAAACTAGGTGTGCAGGGGGCGATCTTGCACATTGAGTCTGAGGTGCGTTTGATTCATACGTGCAGAGATGCCTAGGAGGTGGTTGGATTTCTGGGTTGTCTCCTGCTTCACCCTTCAGCGGCTCTCCATTGTCTTTAGAATAAAGTCACAACTATTTTATGTGTTTCAAATCCCTTGCTACTCTTTCTATGGTCTACTGCCTCCCTCCTCCCTCCCTGTCTGCTGCAGCCAGTGTCTGAACTCTTTTTTTAATTAAAAAATGTGTCATGCATAAGAAAAATATATAAAATGTGTATATGTACGTTTTCAGCGTGAACACCCACTGCATGGGTTAGAGGTAGACTGTCACCAACACCATTAGAGCGCCCTGGGCACCCCTCCCTGTCTTATCCTTATCCTTTCCCTGTAGCTAACTGCCATCTTTTGTATTAATTGTTCTTTTGTTTTTATGGTTTTACTCCATGGATTTTCTCCCGCAACATTGTTTTCCTTTTCCTTATCCTTCTACTATCTTAAATGTCACTCCCTCTGGTAGGCTTTCTTTGACACCTAAGTCTGGGATGTATGTTTCTTCTGTTTGCTTCTGTACTCATCAGCACTTATTATCCTACATTGAATTTGCTTGTTTAACTGTCCTTCATCCTGGAGAACTATGTACGCTAGTCTAGCTGAGTACTTGGCACACAGGAGATATTCAGTAGACAGTTGTTGAGTTGAAATTTTCTTCTCACTCTTAGCAGATGACCTCAACTCCAAGTTCCTTCCTCCCTATGTTAACTTTTTCCAGCTGCTCAGTTTAAGCTGAATTCAAATGGCCAGTATCATACCCCTTGTTGGCAGAGATGGTTACCAAATGGTATTCTCTATACCAAGATCAGCTTCTTCTGGATTATTATTTACTGTTGGGTATAAGATTTTGGTCTCTGTATAGTCTTTATTAATCTTTAAGTTTTGAGAATTGAGTAAGGATCATTGGAATTTTAGTTTGTTTAAAAACTTATTTTTTTGTGGTTTGCTTTTCTCCCACTTTTCCTAATTCTCCTAGCCTGAGATATTCTTTGATGTAGTCAGCCTGTCAACGTGGCAAGAAGTACTAAGTGACTCTCAGCGTGAATACCTTCAGCAGTTCCTGCCTCACTTTCCTCAGGACAGTATGGAGCAGCAAAACCAGCTTATCCTCGCCCTGTTCAGTGGGGAGAACTTCCGCTTTGGAAACCCTCTGCACATTGCCCAGAAGCTTTTCCGAGGTCTGTAGCTCAGCAGTCTTTTTTGGAGGGAGGTGGTGGGTGCAGGACACATTCACCACATGTGGGTGTTCTCTCCTTCATTTTATTTTGTCTGTTTTTATTTTCACATATTGATTGATTCAGCAGAGAGAGGTTTTGTGCAGCACTTTGTTGCCTGGGCTACTTTTATTTATTTATTTATTTTAGTTTAATAAAATTTTATTGTTTCATGTGCAAAAAATACATGAATAGTAAGTGTATTGCTCAACAGTTTTTAATAATACAAACTCAGCTATGTAACCACCACCCAGATCAAGAAGTAGAACATTACCAGCACCCCAAAAGTCCTCTTTTGACTACTTTAAAATTTTTTAAAACTTGTTTTGCCGTTTCTTTTCTTTTACACACACACACACACACACACCAACTCACACACACACACACACTCACCTTTTTTTTGGCTGCAGAAAGCATGACACTTCACTGCCAAGTATGCCAGCAGCACGTATGTTTTAAGACTAAGGATATTCTGTCACATGATCACAATCCTGTTATCACGCACAAGAAATTTAACACTGAGCTAATAGTAGCACTGAATATTACTCCGTATTCAAATTTTCTCAATTGTTCCTGAAAATGTCCTTTATAGTTCCCTGTTTTTTCCTTTTCAATTCAGGATCCAGTTAGATTTCATGCATTGCATTTGGGTCTCATGACTCTTTAGCTCCTTGAATTTAGGGCCCTTTGCCTTTTTTTTTTCTTTCAAGGCACGTTTTTGAAGAGCCCAGGACATTTGAATTGTAAAATTTTCTAATTTCCGGGGACTTGTCTTCTTATTTCCTCATGGTTGGATTCAGGTTAAAAGTTTTTGGCAAGAATGTGTGTGGGAAATATTACGTCTTTCCCAGTTCATTCCCTCTGGAGGCACGTAATGTCAGTGTGTTCCATGGTTGGTAATGCCAGGTTTGATCACTTGTTTAAGTGGTGTCTGCCAGACCCCTTGATTTTTGAATTGAAATTTTCTTTTCACTCTTAGCAGATGACCTCAACTCCCAAGTTCTTTCCTTCCCGTGTTAACTTTTTCCTACCAGTTTAAGCTGAAAATTTTAAGATTGTAAGGGTACTTTTTTTTTTGTTTATAATTAAGAAGAAATCTGTGGGGTGATACTTTGGGACCGTGTGATAATCTTATTTCCCAAAAGTCTGTTGATGATCCTCACGTTTGCAGTCGGGATTCTAGAATGAGTTGGGACCACTCTTGAATCATAGTTCCCTTCCTGTCTTATGGAGAGGGCACAGAGGCAGCCTAAAGCCTCTTTCCCTCCCCTTCTCTGAGATTGCTTTGCTTTGCTAGAAGGCCCTAAAAGGACAGCGTACCTCCTTGAGTTCTGTTGAAACGGACAGCTTGACAGCTGCTGACTGCTGAAAGGAGCAGGCTTATCATTTCAAACATGGCAATGTCTTAGGGGTTTAAAATGAACACTTTCTCCTTCGGTGGGTTAGTAGTTAAGAGAGGAATTCCTCTCTATGTTGGCAGAGGTATATTTCACTCAAGCCAGGGGCCTCAAGCATGAGCAAACCACCTCTCTCTCTTTTTTTTTGGTATTTTAAAAGAAATGTCATTTTTTTATTTTCAAGTACAATAAACTGCCATTTGGGCAAAATAATTAGGGAATGGCATTTCTTTTTTACATTATTGTATTCTAGATGAAGGTTTATAGGGAAAATTAGGTTCTCGTTAAATAGTTAATATACATGTTGTTTTGTGGCATTGGTTGCCAATCACACAGCATGTCAGCTCTACCCTTCTCAACCTTGGGTTCCCGATTACCCGCTTTCCTGTCCCTTCCTGCCTTCTTGTCCTTGCCCCTGGGCTGGTGTGCCCATTTAGTCTTGTTTTGTATTTTTTTTATGGGCCTGTCTAATCTTTGGTTAAAGGGTGAACCTCAGGAGTGACTACAGTACTGAGTTGAAAGGGTGGCTGGGGCCATGCTCTCGGGGTTCTCCAGTCTCTGACCAGTAAGTCTGGTCTTTTTTGTGTGAGTTAGAATTTTGTTCTACTTTATTCTCCAGCTGTATCCTGGACCCTCTATTGTGATCCCTGTAAGAGCTATCAGTGTGGGTAGCCAGGCACCATCTAGTTGTGCTGCATTCAGTCTGGTGGAAGCTGTGGTAGTTGTAGTCCATTAGTTCTGTGGACTAGTCTTTCTTTTGTGTCTTTGATTTTCTTCATTCTCTCTGCTCCAGACAGGGTGAGACCAGTGGAGTATTTTAGATGACCGCTTACAAGCTTTTAGGACCCCAGATGCTACTCACCAAAGTAGAATGTAGAACATTTTCTTTATAAACTATGTTATGCCAGTTGAGCTAGATGTCCCCTGAGACCATGGTCCCCAGCCCTCAACCCGTTAATTGTGTCCTGCGTGGAGTTCAAATGTGCTGTGAAGCTTCTGTGACCTTGCCTTGGTCAAGTTGTGCTGACTTCCCAAGTCTTGTCTACTGTCTTACCCTTCACCAAAGTTCCCACTTACCTACTGTCTGGTTAGTGTTTCTCTCCACCCTTTTCCTCCCTTGTAACCATCAAAGATTGTTTCTTTCTGTATGTAAACCTTTTTATGAGTTTTTATAATAGTGGTCTCATACAGTATTTGTCCTTTTGTGATTGACTTATTTCTAATGCCGTCCAGATTCATGCGTGTTGTGAGATGTTTCACAGATTCATCATTGTTCTTTGCCGTTGCGTAGTATTCCATTGTGTGTTTGTACCATAGTTTATCTGTTCATCTGTTGATGGGCATTTACGTTGTTTCCATTTTTTGACTATTGTGAATACTGGTGCAGTGAACATGAGTGTGCATATGTCTATTTGTGTGACTGCTTTTATTTCTCTAGGATATATTCCTAGGAGTGGGATAGCTGGAAGGTATGGTATTTCTATTTCTAGTTTTTTAAGGAAGCGCTGTATTGTTTTCCAAAATGGTAGTACCATTTTACATTCCCACCAGCAGTGCATAAGAGTTCCAGTCTCCCCACAGCCTCTCCAACATTTGTTATTTTCTGTTTTTTTGATTGTGCCAGTAATGTTGGGGTGACATAGTATCTCATTATAGTTTTGATTTGCATTACTCTAATGGCTAGTGATCTCACGCTTTTCCTCAACTGTCTGTTAGCCACCTGAATGTCTTCTTTGGTGAAGTGTCTCTTCATATCCTTTGCCCATTTTTTCATGGGATTATTAGTTTTTTTGTTGTAGGGTGTTAGATTTTCTATACATTTTAGAGATTATACTTTTGTCGGATTTGTCATAGCCTAAACTTTTTTCCCAGTCTGTTGGCTTTGTTTTTCCTCTTTTGGTAAAGTCTTGATGAGTGTTTAATTTTTTAGAAGATCCCATTTATCTAGCTTGTCTTCCGGTGTTTGTGTATTGTTATAGTTTGTATCCTATTTATGCCATGCTTTAGGGCCTCTAGTGTTGATCCTATTTTTTCTTCTATGATCATTATAGTTTTTGGTTTTATATTTAGGTCTTTGATCCATTTTGAATTACTTTTTGTGTATGGCGTGAGATATGGGTCCTGTTTCTTCTTTTTGTAGATGGACATCCAGTTTTGCCAGCACCATTTGTTAACTTTCCATCTCCTACCCCACCCCAGCTTAAACTATATTCATTCCCTTTCTGACCCACTCTTCTTGTCTCAGAGGAAGAAGGATTTTTCTTTTTATTTAAGGTTAACTCTGCTCTTTCCTCTGTTATCTCCTCTGGGACCTTGTTTCCTCAGTTCACTGTTCTCCTGCATATTCACGCCACATGAGTATTCAGTTTCCATATGCTTTCTTGGTCTATAGGTATGTTCAGGGGTTTCAGACTAAAAACATCCTCAATCACCTGGCCCCTTTATTGTCATGTATCTTTTTCCTTTGTCTCCACACTTGTTGAAAGGTGTCCATAGCTGTCTTTTTCAGTTACCCCGCTTCTATTCACTTGTGGCTATGCCCTTCCTACCTTACTGAGACTGCTCTTGCTAATGCCACCAGTGATCTCTTTTTTTGTTTTTGTTCAACTTTTTAAAAAATTTAAAACTGACAGAAAAGTTGCGAGAATATACAATGGACGCCCATTGTTATGGATTGAATTGTGTCCCCCCAAAATGTGTGTCAACTTGGCTAGTCCATGATTCCCAGCACTGTGTGATTGTCTACCATTTTGTCATCTGATCCGATTTTCCTATGTGTTATAAATCCTGCCTCTGTGATGTTAATAAGGTGAGATTAGTGACAGTTATGTTAATGAGGCAGGACTCAATCTACAAGATTAGGTTGTGTCTTAAGTCAGCCTCTTTTGAGATAGAGAGAAGGGAGCAGAGAGACATGAGGACTCCCTACCACCAAGAAGGCAGAGCTGGGAGCAGAGCAGGTCCTTTGGACCTGGAGTCCCTGTGCTAAGAAATTCCTAGACAAGGAGAAGATTGATGACAAGGACCTCTCCCAGAGTCACCATAGAAAGCCTTGCACTGGAGCTGGTGCCCTGAATTCGAACTTCTAGCCTCCTAGACTGTGAGAGAATAAAATTCTCTTTGTTAGAGCCATCCACTTACGGTATTTCTGTTATAGCAGCACTAGGTAACTAAGACAGGATTTGGTACCGAGAGTGGGGTGCTGCTCTGACAGATATCTAAAATGTGGAAGCAGTTTTGAAACTGTGAATGGATAGAGGCTGGAAGAGTTTCTAAGTGCCAAATTGTAAAAGCCTAGATTGCCTTGAAGAGACTATTGTTGGAATTGTGGACATCAGAGACAGTTCTGGTGAGGACTCAGAAGGAAATGAGGAGAGCTGTTATACTGAAGACAGCACAGATGACGAGCAGCAGCAGCAGAACCAGGAGACCAGTGCGAGACGGTGTTGGAGCCGACTCACGGAGCAAGAGAGCTGAGTGCTTTTGTGCGGGAGGCTTCCTGGTGGAATAGGGTGTCTCTGGGCACTTACTGGTAGAGCTAGACATGCCAGCCTACAAAGCGAGAGA